AACATAACCTTGGTTTTTGGCTTTAAGTGATTAAGAAATAAACATTCATTTTAGTGAACCATTAAGATTTGGAGATTTATCTGTAGTGGCAGCTAGCCTTACCTCAAATAATATACCTGGTGAACTATTCATCTTTTAAGGCCCACTTCAGATGCCCCCTGCTTTGGAAGCCATTTATTTCTCTTCCTTCCTTCCTTCCTTCCTTCCTTCCTTCCTTCCTTCCTTCCTTCCTTCCTTTCTTCCTTCCTTTCTTCCTTCCTTCCTTCCTTCCTTCCTTTCTTCTTTTCTAAATATATTTTTATTTTATTATATTTTAAATATATTTTTATTGATTTCAGAGGGGAAGGGAAAGGGAGAGATAGAAACATCAATGATGACAAAGAATCATCGATCAACTGCCTCTTGCACACCCCTAGTAGGGATCAATCCCACAACCTGGGCATGTGCCTTTGACCAGAATTGAGCCTGAGACCCTTCAGTCCACAGGCTGGCGCTCTATCCACTGAGCCAAACCAGGAGGGCAGGAAGCCATTTCTGACTTCTCAAGGCAGGAGTGATTTTTTTCTCTGTATGTCCAAAACCTTCAAAGATTCATCACTTACTGACCCCCTCCACCCCGACCATCTAGTGCTTGACTTCTTTACGCACCTCTCTTCATGTTCAAGCATTAACTCAGTGGTTAATACTGATCTTGGCAATTCTAGAGTCTAGCAGAATACGTGAAAGATGGTAGATGTACAATATTTGAAAATTCACTCTTTCACAAGTATGTGTGATCTCATTGTATGCACTAGACTGCTGTATTCCCAATTCTGTTCTAGACTCCTGAAGCTTTGCAGGAGTTTAAGGGAAACACATTCCAGGCAAAGGAGAGCCAGGGCAAAGAAATGGGGTGTGCATGGAGCAGAATGAGTGAGGGTCATAGGGGAGATGCGTCAAGGAGGTGTGTGTCTGTATGTGTGTGTATGGGGAGAAGTGCAGGATGTATATGTAAACCTGTGACAGAATTTGGTTTGAACTAAGAGGGAAGTGGAAAGCTACTTCAGCATTCTGAGTAAGGAAGTGATCTAACATACAGGTTCACTCTGACCTCTATGTGGAGAGAAGACTATCTAAGGGTTCTGGGCAAAATGAGGGGGACAAGTTACAAGCCTGTTATAATAATCTAGGCATAAGATGATAGTAACTTGGACCCAAATACTTGGTAGTATTATTTGGGATGTATTTTTAAAGTAGGATTTGCTGATGAATCAGATGTGTGATATAAGTCAAGGATGAATCCATGATTTTTTATTTGAGTAACTGGAAGGATTAAGTTGCAATTAAGGGGATGAGAAGGCTATGAGAGGAGAGAATCAGAAATTTAGTTTTGGACTTATGCTTGATATGCTTATAGTCATGGCCTAGCAGAGATGTTGAGTAGTAGCTAGATATGCTATATGCATATCTGGAATGGAGAAATATGGGCTAGAAATACAAACTGACTTGTCAGCATACAGATTTATTTAAAATCACAGGAGATGAAAAAAAATAAAAATAAATTAAAAAAAATAAAATCACAGGAGATGAATGTACATTAAAAAGAAAAGAAGTTCAAGGACAAACCCAGGGACACTCCAGAGTGTAGAATTCAGGGAGGTGAGTGAGAATCAGAAAAAGAACCCTTTCTGAGTTGCCAGTGAGGTTAGAAGGAGAATCAAGGATGGCCTAGGAAGCCAAGTGAACATGGCATTCAAGGAGAAATCAGTTGTGTCAAATTCTACAATCCATGGCTAACCTTGTCCAGAATGTGTTCAATGAATTGATGAGTGAACAGATGTAACTTTTTCTCCATCGATATTTGACAAGGACTCAGACTGAACAGACCATATCTTTGTTTCTCCAAAAGAGTTTGAGAAATGATTGTAGAATTGATGGAGTGAAATGACTTTTCCCTCAGGGTAGCCTACCCCAGGTCCTACTTTATTTTCCTTTGAACTGTAGAGTATGGGAAACTGCACAGTTCCCATAAGTTCCCAGTCCTGGAAGCCGGGATAGCTGGAATTGCCTGTGGTTATTCTTCTGTGCAATTCAACAGAGGCATACAAAATCCCAAGGTCGTCAGGGCAAAGGAGTCATCAGCATCTAAAGAATAAATTAGTAGTCCCAAGCTCACAGGAAAAAAGCTGCAAACTCACTCAAATGGATGTAGTTCATCTGGTTAGGCTGCTGGGGTATAGTCATTCTTGAGATAATTAATTCATAGCATTGTTAAAAAAAAAAAAGTATTTTCTTGGGAACTTTGATGATTCAGAACATATAAAATACTAGTGAAAATTTCAGTCCAAAACAGCTGGATCTTGATGCATTTATTTTCTGAAAAAAGGAAGATTTTCCTTAGAAGGAGTCATTTTAGAGTTGGCACCTTTAAAAAAAAAAAAATCCAGACCTGAGGATATGTTTTTATTGATTTAAGAGAGAGAGAGAGAGAGAGAGAGAGAGAGAGAGAGAGAGAGAGAGAGAGAGAGAGGAGCTCTGATGTGAGAAACATCTATCAGTTGCCTTCGTAGTGCCACTAAAGGAATCAAACTCAGAACTTTTTTGGTGTACAGAACAATGATCCAACCAACTTAGCCACCAGCAGGGTTATAGCAGGTACCATTTCCCTTGAGTATTTACTTATATACCAGGAATAATGCTAAGAAGCACTTTATAGACATTTGGAAAACATGAATCCTTATAACCACCCTACAGGATTTATTAATTTTTCTTTATTGATTAAGGTATTACATATGTGTCCTTATCCCCCCATTCCCCTCCCTACCCTGCCCCCCTCATACCCTTACTCTTCTGGTGTCTGTGTCATTGGTTAGGCTTATATGCATGCATACAAGTTCTTTGGTTGATCTCTCCCCCTTACCCCCACTCTCCCCTACCTTCCCTCTGAGGTTTGATGGTCTGATCGATACTTCTCTGTCTCTGGATCTGTTTTTGTTTGTTAGTTTATGCTGTTCATGATATTCCACAAATGAGTGAGGTCATGTATACTTACCTTTCTCTGATTTTAGATGTAATAGTAATAGATTACAGATGAAATGGAGGCTTGGAAAGATTGAGGGGACCTCACAGGGATTGTCTGCCCTAGTTTGGGACCCTCAGGAGTAAACTGATCCCCATCAGAACTGTCTTCTGGTCAGGACGGGGAAGTCTCAGTGCTGCTTCTAGAAGTTAACTTTTCCTAGGAGGAAGAGAGGGTAGGCTGATGCAAAACCCCAGTGTGTAGGTAAGAGAGTTTAAGACATTTCTCCAAAGTCATGCAGATGTTAGTCAAGGGAGAAGCCAGAATTTACCCACAGGGTAACATGATTTCAAAAGCTAAGGCATTCCCAGATTCCCAAAAGAACTCACTTGAGATAAGGCAATGAGAGATTCCTAAGATATGGGACTAGTGAAAGGCAGCCACTAGCTGTTCTCTCACTGGGCAGCTTTCCCTGGCCATTTTGGTCTGTGTGAGTTGGGAGGTAGCCCGTTTCTGTTATTCAGGAAGCAATTACACTCTTGTGGCAAGTTCAAGGCCGGTTGCTTTTCTTCCTTTTCAACTATTTATTTCCCTCCTTTTGTGAGCTCCTCTGTCCGGGCAATGGGAAAAGGTAGAATGTAAGTGGAGAGTAAGATGTTACCAGTAAAACGAAGGCCCGGTGCATTCATTGCCAATCTCACACTCCTTCTCTCCCCACCTCCTCCATCTGCTTATATACTTGTTTGGACTGTGGGATCCCCATGCGAAGGAGACTGTGGCGGAAGCATTTCTAGTGCAGTGATTCACAGAATCAAGCGGCAGGCATAGATTAGAGTTTAAGAGGGATCTGTGTCTATAAACTGTGTAACGGTGGGCAACCTTATCCAACCTTTCTAACCTCCATTCTCCTTGTCTGTAAAATTGGAATAGTAATCACGTTAATTTTACCCGTTGTTGTGGGGGTGAAACCAGACAGTGCAGTGAAATCACTGGCCCTTGGCATGTAGAGGAGCTGGCCTTCCAGGGCCCAGCAGGATGCTTTTGTCCTCCCAGGCTCCTGTGGAGAATTCACCTGCACTGGGACCAGAGCTCCAGGTCCATCATTGCCCTCATCCTGTGTCCTCACCATGGCTATGCAAAGGGATTCTTGTTGTGCAAAAGATTTAAATAAGGCACCTATTTAAGACATGTTGACAAATGACAAGAAATAAAGTAGTTGTGCAAGTGCTTTCTCTTCCTACACCTCACGGGTGAGAAAACCGCCTTGAGGAAGGTGAAGAGGTTTGTTGGGGTCACAGTTAATAACAGCAGAATGGAAACCTCACCCCAGATCTCTGACACCTGCTGCTGGGAGCTCTTCCTGCTCCCACTGCTCTCCTGTGTGTCCACAGCACCCTGTCTTGCCTCCACAGATTGAAACTCACTCCTCATCCAAAGGGAAGGTGACCAAACGTTTCCAAAAAAAAAAATCGGGACTTTTTAAAAAACGCCTCGGGACACATTGTTTAAAAATCGGAACTGTCCCGCCAAAAGCGGCACGTCTGGTCACCTTCTCCAAAGGGACCACCCACCTGGGGAGCCTCTGCGGGCGATCGGTGCAGAGAACTCGGTCCACCTGGCTTTGGGCCACTAGGAAAAGCGGAGGAAGGGAGGGAACGGAAGGCGCGGGCTCCCCGGAGTAATGAAAGGTTAAAGGTAGTCTTAGGCGTGGCCCAAGCCCGGAGGAGAACCTCGGTCCCAGCGTTGCTGTCATTTGCATTCCAGGGAGGCGACTTCACCCCGCCGTCCCAGCCCACGGGCGCCGGGGGCAGCGCCTGCAACCTGCTACGGCGGTTCGGCCCCGGGAGCTGGGAGCGCGCGGGGGCGGGGGCTGGGGGAGGGTGCGGGGTGCGGGCGGGGGAATTACCGGGGCCAGGTGCTCCGGAGCGAGGCCCGGGGGCGGGGCCGGGGCGGGGCCTCCCGCAGGTGCAGCGAGCGGCTCGGGTTTCAGTGAAACCTCCGGGCCCCGGGCGGAGCGCAGAGGCTGCGGGCAGGGACAGGTGAGCGGGCGGCCGGTCCTCCGAGGAGCGGCGAGCGGCGGTCTGAGCTTCGGAGTCCGCGGCGGCGAGTCCCCGTCCGCCCGGCGGCGGCGGGCCAGCTGGGAGGATGCGGAGCCGGAGCGCGGCGTGGCTGCTGGCGGGCACCGTCCTGCTGGCGGCCTCCGCCTCCTGCAACCACACCGGCCACGGTGAGCGGCTGGGCGGAGGAGGGCTGGGGCCGCTGGGGAGCCGGGAGCCGGGGCCCGGGCGCAGGGTGGACGCGGGGCAGGTGCGCGAGGGGCAGGTCCTGCTACCTGCAGCCACCCACCGCCCCGGCACCTCCCCGCCCCCTCCCTGCGGCTCCGAGGGGGAGTCCCAGCGCCCGGGGAGCCTCGGAACCGGACAACCCGGAGAGGCTGGAGCGGGCGGGGGAGCTGGGAGGGAACGGGGTGCCCGAGTCCAAAGGGAACCCAGAGGCTCAGCCACCCTTCCCACAGGACGGCTCCTTGGCAAACACGAAGTCACGAAGGAGCTTTGCGCACACCCTGGCGGCCTCCTCCGGGCGGACCCTGGGGACCCCTGGAGTTAGCGGCTCGGGGCGGGGTGGGGTGGGGTGGAGTGCGAGGGAGCCCGGGCCTGGAACCTTCCATTTCTATTTTTATTTTATTTACTATTATTTATTTATTTATTTATTTAGCAAAACCCCTTCAGCCTTTGGAACTCCCTCTCTGGGATCGGCCCGTGGCGATCAGACCCGGCGGGGCCCTGAGCTGCTCTGGCCCGAGTGGGGCCCCCGATATGCCGGACGCCGCTGGGTTCCCAGGATGACCGGCCTCAGCTTCCAAGTTCGTTAGGCCAGTTGGGGGGTCACTTAGATTTACGAATGGAGCTCCTTAAACCAAAGTGACCAGACGTCCTGTTTCTTAACAATTTGTCCCGCGGCGTTTTCGGGACAAATTGTTAAAGATCGGGACTGTCCCGCCACAAGCGGGACGCCTGGTCACCCTACCTTAAACCTACCTGTATCCGACGGGGTGAATTTAGGGTGCTGGCTTTCCAGGCCCTTCCACGCCCCAGGGAAAGTACACTCACTGCCAGCCCCAGGAGACAGCCCGAGAGCCGGCTGGGCTGGTGCTCAGGTGCCAAACTGCCCGTGGCTGCCGGGCTCTGCAGTGGTGCTGCCCGGCTGTGCGGCAGGGACCCTGCTGGGGATGCGATCTTCCGGGCGGAGCCGGCCTCTGAGCGCCTGGGGGTGGGGTGCTGGGCCTGGGATGGGCCTCTGTGATGCTAACCGACCCCCCGCGGTCTGAGGCTGCCGGGGTAGCCTTCAATGGGAGGTGTTCACTCCCCCGGGGAATGTGCAGGCCCGACTGTGAAAGGCAGTTTCTCACCTTTATCCTTTTTTACAAAGACTTTGTAAAAGAGCAGATCACTGTGAGTTTGAATTAGATGGGAGAGCGTGATTGTTTTACCTCTGGGGTTTCAGAAAAGCCTATTGTGGTGTCTGCTTGAAAACGGCACCAACTGTATATATACATTTTATTGTCAGCATTTATTCATATCCAGAAAGTAAAGGAAAGTGTACTGCGAAAATTTTGGAAACAGTGTGGTGCGGGTGATTCAGTGCTTGTATGATTCAGACAGTTGCTATAGGAAGCTTGCTCTGATTACTGGTGTGTTCTTGTTTACCAAGTGACTGGGCTGGGACTGGGGGATTCCTGGTGTATAAGGTGAACTTAATGTAACAGCAGCCAAGTCAAGTTACTTGTTAACCAGAACTGTTTAATATTCCAGTTTCAGTGTTTTCTTTTTCAGATGCATACTTTTATTGCGTTGTAGGGTAACTTTCGTCCCAACTTGAGACCGATTTGATTTTGATTAAGAAATAGAGCATCACTAATGTTTTCTGGCCCTCAACCCACACTTTTGCTCATCCCCTTTCATTATTATTGTTATTTTAAAAAAAATTCATCTCCATTGACTTCAGAGAGGAAGAGAGAGGGAGAAAGTCAGAAACATCAATGATGAGAGAGATTTATTCATTGACTGCCTCCTGCATGTACCCCACTGGGGCATGCGCCCTTGACTGGAATCAAACCCGGAACCCTTCAGTCTGCAGCCTGACGCTCTATCCACTGAGCCAAACTGGCCAGGGCTGGCTCATCTTCTTTTTGTTGACCCTTATGCTTGCTCCTCAGTTTGCTATAGGACAGATGACAGCTTTGATTTTCTTCCCAAAGGCCTTACCCCAAAAGACTGTCTCATGGAAGGAAACTTGGCCTAGAGTACAACCCTCTCATTTTATAGATGTGGCCCACTGCAGAGGAGGGGGTTTGAGGAAAATAGTCCATCAGGCTTCCCTTTTCCCCCATCACAACAGCAATTGATAATTATTTGTGTAAATATGTTTAATCTGTCTCCCCACTGGATTGTGAACTCTTGGAGGCCAGGGGCCCTCTGGTCGTCTTCATTGCCATGGTCCAGCACAGTCATTTACCCGAAGGACCTCAGGAAATAGTAAATGAGGAATGAAGTGAGGGGACTTGCCAGAATGACCTGGAGGGTTGATGGCAGATGGGCATGTGTATTGGTTTCTTTCAGTCACTTACTGTTTTTCTATTATCACAAGCCTGGGAGGTCCCCTATGGTATAGTCATTCTATTTTTCTTTTGGAGATGGAAACTTCTGTTCTCTTTGCTAATGGTTCTTAATGATGCAAGTCGTATGTGATCACTGTAAACCAAAAAATGAGACAGATAAGAGGGAAAAGTTCAATTAAATCACCCAAGTAACTGCTGTTCGCATTTTGGTATTTGTCCTTTCCCATGCTTTCATGCATCCATGCATAAAATATGTGTTCATACACATAGAAAATCTTTTCACACAAATCTGGGATTATATAAGTATCAGTAGCATGTCAGTGATATAAAACATTTTCAATGACTCTAAAATATGCTATAGGAGAATATATCGTACTTTTATAATTGGTCCTCTGTTGCTAGACACGTGGGGTATTTCCAAGGTGTAATAAGAGAGAACACTATAATGGACGTGAGGATGGGATTTTAAATTTGTGTTGTTTTTCTAGCTTGCCTTGTGGTTACTAATTAACCTTGATAGGGGATGTTTTAGTGAAGTAGGTTTGACCTTCTTATGGTTTTATTAGCTGGGCAGACGTGGAGAGGAAAACCGTTTATCCTGAAAGAACATAGGAATTTACTAAAATATACCTAGGAAGAGGTCTTCAGCAACTGAAGCTTGTTATTTTTCAGTTTCTGCTCCTAAAGGTTGGGAACAAAAGAAGATTTGGAGGTTGGAGATAGTGGGGGAAGAGACACAAGAGGAGCTAACACCAATAAAGTAGTTGTTTTATACTTGGTTTAGTGGGGAGCGCATAAAGTAAAAAACAAGTGCTTTGAAAGTTAAAAGTTTTATATGCATTTCCTCCCACAATTGTACAAATCAGAAGTGTTAATAAAAGTGAAAATCTCCCATCTCTCCCCTTTCCACAGACTACTTTATGCACAAATATATATTGTCAAAGTATACATGTCATCCTATAATTTATTTATTTATTTAACACAATACATCTATTCATGGTCAGTGTGTAGAAATCTGTAATACTTTTTTTAAAAATCAGGTTTTTAATGAGTAAATCTGAATTCTGTCAGTGATATATACATACCTAGATCATTTCCTTAGGTCAAAGTTGAAGCTAAATTCACTTTTAAATTCAATTTTTCCAAGCAGCTGAGTCAGCTAGCTCTCTGTATCTTGACAGCTTTTCCTCCTAATGAGACGAGTCTGTACTATAATGAAACGTGGGGTTTGGGGTGCAGATTTCTTCTTGAGTGTTCTTGTCTGACAAAGATGAAGAATAAATTTGTAAAAGTTTCCTTTAATAAAAATGTAGAAGTTTATTGGAAGCATATACAAACTCCATTTGGGCAAGGGTGTCCACTGGGAAGGGGCCCCCAAATAGGAAAAAAGCTGTTCTCTCTCTTTCTAATGGGGAAAAAGAATCTGTCTTGTGTTCCTTTGTCTCCAGTTTATATATGCTGCAGCTCTTTGTGTGAACCTGACCCTTTCTAATTGGACTTGTCATCAATTTAGGACCCTGTGCTTTCTTCTTTGGTTATTTTGTTACATAATATCAGTTTCAAAGGCCAAAGCCCACACTGTTCCCCTCTCTCTCTCCCCTTATTTTTCAACAATAACAACCTTTGCTAATTCCATTATAATATTTATCACATGGTATTTAGTTTTCCATTAGATTGGGGCTCCTTCAGAGCAGAGATTACTATCATGTTCACTTTGCCTTGTAGTAGATTCCAAATTATTTGTTACATGAATAATGAACATTTCTATTCAAATGGTATGTATTCATAATCACAATATTGAGTATTAATCTCCAAATATTCTATAATTGATTTATTTTTAATTAAAAATACATTTATTGGGATGACATTGGTTAATATGAACATACAGGTTTCAGGTGTGTGTTTCTATGTTACAAGATCTGTATATTGCACCATGTGCAATGAAGTCCAATCTTCTCCTGTCCTTATATTTTAGGATCCCCTTATTCCCCACCCCTTCCCTCCTGCAACCACCACACTACTGTTTGTGTTCATGGGTTTTAATTTTATATCCCACATATGAGTGAAATCATCTTAGCTTTTTCATGGCTGATTTATTTCATTTAGCATAATGTTCTCAAGGTCCATCCATCTTGTTGCAAATGGCACTATTTTGTCCTTTCTTATGGCTGAGTAGTATTCCATTGTGTGCATGTACCATATCTTCTTTATCCAGTCTTCTATCTCAGGACACTTCGTTTGTTTCCTGTCTTAGACACCGTGAATAATGTTGTATTGAACATAGGGGTGCATATATCTTTGCTGATAAATGATTTTGAGATCTTTGTATGTATACCCAGGAGAGGAATTGCTGGGTCGGATAGTAGCTCTATTCTCAATTTTTTTTGAGGAATTGCCATAGTGGTTGTGCCAGTCTACGTGCCTACCAGCAGTGGATGAGTGTTCCCTTTTTTCCTACAACCTGTCCTTCACCTATTTTTGCTTGTCTTGTTGGTAATGGCCACTCTAATAAGTGTGAGGTAGTATCTCATTGTGCTTTTGATTTGCATTTCCCAAATTGCCAGAGGTTGAACATATTTTCATATAGCTGTTGGCTGTTCGTATGTCTT